ACAGCAAAGAAAACACTTCAATTTTGTTCTTTTTCAATCTGCTGATGGGTTGGTTGGTCAGGCCGTGTGTGCACATGTGTGCATGTTCTGTATTTGATCTTCTATATTTAATTCTTTGTCACCTGCCATCTTTAGGTACTACATGACCTTTGTTCTAATGCTCAAGTTCTCTCCTCTCTCTCTCTCTCTCTCTCTCTCTCTCTCTCTCTCTCTCTCTCTCTCTCTAGCAAAGAATGGACATAAATTCATAGTGATCTTTCTGCTTCAACCCTCCCCCCACATGATGGATTGCAGACATGAGCCCCACACCTGGTATTCCTTTGTTCTTCAATTTTCAATTTCCTATAGATCACTTAAGGAGTTTACTAAAAATAGCACTGGGATTCATACCCCTTTCAATTCCGAGAATGTTTTAGTTAGGTTTAAGGAAAATACTTTTAAATAAAACCTTCCCGGACCTCCAGGTATTCTGATGTCACCTGTCAAAGAATTACACCCTGAGAGGTAGTCAGAAGAAAAGGCCCATTTATCACTGAACAAAGGAGTATGTATCAATGTTGGGCAATAGGTGTAGCAGTGGCTCCCTCAGGAGATGACACCTGGACCAAGTCCTAAAGAATGAGTCTGTATTCCTGAGATTCAGGATGAGAAGAGGGAAGATATTCCTTGCAGATGGGGAGCATCAGGGAGATAGAGGCAAAGCTGGGCCTGGAAAAGACAGAAATTGGCTGTTACAAAGATTCACTGTATCTTTGGATGCATTGTTTCTCAGTACCACTGTGGTCTAATATTACCAAAGAAAAGGCCAGCAGTGCTTAAAGAATGTTAGGAGACAGAAGAGTGCCAACAGAGGCTGTGGGCATGTTTCTCAGAATCCACCTCTACTCAATCTGCCTAAACTTGGGTTTATCCATGAACACAGTTAGCTCTCAGTTTAAAGAAGATTCTATAATTCAATTCCAGGAAAAGTGGGCCATAAAAAGCAGAACTACAGTTTCTAAGTACTAACTTCCCCTGTGCTAAGCATATTGAGACATAATCCAGAATATGTGACCTTTCACCCTAGTTATGAAGAATGGAACAAAATGATTTTCCAACTGAATACACATCATAGCTGTGCTTCTCTAAGGAGGAACTCGGACTCTAGAGCACAGTGCAGTGCAGTTTGTGGTACATTTCCCACTTGCACAGATCTGCATGCTAACATCCGCTTCCTCTGGAAAGTACACAAAGAAAACGATCCCAACGGTAAGGCCCGTTGCTTTGCGTTCTGTACGTTGATGCTCCCGACTTTCCTCCCGTGGGGTGGAGATGTTGTGAATTATCTAAGGAGAAAGAACCAGGCTGACAGAAGGCTGTCATTAAGTCGAGATTCCTCTACACTTTTCCCTGTTATGTAATTCTGATTTTGGCTCAAACAAACTTGATGGTCTTTCAGATATGGAACAAGCTTAGGGGAGAGACTGTAAGCCATCAACTGGAGGATTCTGAGGACATGTAGCTCCCATGTACTCATCCCTCAATTATTAATTGAAACATCAGGAGTCTTCTGGAGCACCCGGGGAGTTATGACATCAGTTGTAACACAGGAGTTTTTGAAGAGACCTAAAGGTAAGTAGAAATTCTTTATTTCCTGTTCCTTCATGCCAAGGCTCTGCACAGACTCTCCCATCTGCAGAGGATGGGAGTGGTGGCCCTTCCCATGTCTCCTCATGTTTTTCTCTCTCTCAGAGCTGCAGTAGCTTGTCACTCCACCTGTATTTCAGGAACATTCTGTTTGCATGATATAAAATAGTTCCCTATCTGTGCACAACGTGCCACAAGACTCATTCTTTCTAACAACTGGAACAATGGGCACACCCACCTCACAGAGCACTGTGGTCTTTCTTGAAAGGGATTTCTCTCATTTCCACACTAATCAAACTGGATGCTTGCCAGGATTAAAGGCGTGTGTGCCACCATTTTCTGGCCTCTATATCTAATGGCTGTTCTGTTCTCTGACTCCAGGTAAGTTTATTAGGGTGCACAATATATTGGAGAACACAATATCGCCACTGCCTGCTGGAGAGGAAGCTGCTCTTTTTGTCTCTAAACCTGTGAAAGAAAAGTTAAGATTTAACATCCGGATTTGGGGGAGCCTGTATTTAAAGGTGGATCCTTCCTCAAGCATCTGTCTCTGGGACGCTGTTTGTTCTGTGCTGTAACCTGGGGAGTGGACTCTCACTTGCAGTGCAGCACCGGATTTGAACAGACGTCTCGGAACCTGCCTTTCCTCTTTGGTCCTGTTCATGTAATCTTGCTGCATCTCTCCTGTATTTTTCCCTTTGATTTTGTTTGTTAACCATATTATTATTTTTTTAGATTCATACCTGTATACAATATATACTGATATGTTCATGCCTCCCATTACCCTCTTCTATCCCCTTCATACACCCATTCACATCCTTTTCTTCTTCCGGGCTGGCTTCCTTCCCACTTTCCTGTCTTTTGTTTTTAATGCAGGTCTACTGCAGGTTACCATAGTTGCAGTGCTCGTGATTGCAGCCTCCATTCATGTGGAAGTGATTCCAATGGAAAGACAGGAAGTAACTTTCATTCATAGTGATGTCAGTGAGAAGGTGAAAAGTGGAGCTTGATCTTGTCAAGTTCCTAGTGGGTCTGGCTGATTTCAATTTAATCTGAAAATACCTTACGGTGTGTTTCTTTGTGGAAGTCTTGACAATTGCACACAAATCACCCGCTTCTTGTGGATGGATCTATGATAGGCAACAAACTGGCACCTGAATTCCAGGTACTGTGTAGTACCAGTAACTGTTGAAGCACTGCCAGGTTTTTATGGGAATTCATAATTGGGGCTTAGCTTCCTCAGTTGTGGGGTGACTGATTTTGTTTTTTAATCTCCAAGGCCAACCACAGTCAGCAGATACAGTTGTACATCACTCCTCATGAGGGATTCTTGCAGATAGTTCCCATTTAGGACAATGACTTCAGTCAGCTCTCTACCTAGGCAAAATCATTAGCTTTCTAGTCAGCCAAGTGTTGGGAAGTATGGTCCCAACAATCATCATCAGTTACTCAGGAAAAAAAAAAGAGATTCCCTTTCCCTGTGAACAACACTGAAATGTGTTATATGTGTTTTCTCAGAGGATCCTAATGGAGCTAAAAGATTCCCATTACCTAGTGCTGCCAACAGTCACTATGCCATAGCAGTGTAAGCATCATTCACATGCTCGTGCTGAAGCTAGTGTAAGCAAACCTAATGTGCTGTCACTCATACAAAGTGCCATAGCTTTGATGTAGATCACATAATGCTTATTTAATTATAACTATTAATATTGGTTTATGTGTGTCCTATATTTGTAATTTTTTGAGAACATGGTACATAAGCACTGCATCTGTATTACTCTTGCCCTCTCCATGGTTCAGCTCCTCCTGTGTCCCCCTACCTCCCAAAGTCACACACACACACACACACACACACACACACACACACACACACACCCTACCAAATCCATTTAAGGTTGCTCATGTGTCCAAGACTGACCACTTGGGACTGGAAGACTTATGTAGGAGTTCCCCAGAAGAAATTGATTCTCCCTCTCTCAGCGGCCATTGACTACCTGTAGTGCTTCATTTAGGGGTGAGACAATGTGGAAATCTCCCCATCCACGTTGGCATGTCAGATAGTGTGCCAGTCTTGATCAGGCAATGACATTGGTGAGGTTTCAAGGGTGACTTTTCCCTGTCATATCTAGGGGACATGAAATAACAGCAGGCAACCTGGTCTCCTGGCCCTTACAATCTTTCTACAGCCCTTCTCTGATCCTTTTAGGTATACGGGTTAGATTGTAGATGAATCAGTTGTGATTGGGAACCCCACAGTCTGAATTGTTCCAGTTGTATATCTCAGTAAAAGCCTCCATTTATCACATAAAGAAGCTTCATTGATAAGGGATGAGAGTTATCTCATCTGTGGGTTTAAGGATAAGTATTTAGAAATTACATTTGTTTAGGGAAATTGTAAAAGTAACTGTCTTATTCAATAAGAAACACAGAACCAATGCAAAGACGAAAGCCCAAGAGGTCAGAGCTAAGAGCCTTACCCTTCACTCTGCAGCTGTCCTCTTCAGCCAAGATAGCTACTTCCTGTGTGTTTGTCTTTATAAAGACTTTCTGTTCTGCCTTCTCATTGGTTGTAAACCCAACCACATGACCTCATCACTGCCTGTCTGTATAGACCTCCAGGTCTTCTATGGTTGGTATTGAGATTAAAGGCATGTGTCTCCATGCTGGCTGTATCCTTGAACACACAGAGATCTGCCTAGTTCTGCCTCCCAAGAGCTGGGATTAAAGGCGTGCACCACCACCGCCCAGCTTCTGCGATGGATTACTATTAGCTCTGACCCCCAGGCAACTTTATTTATTAACATACATACAAATAAAATCACATTTCAGTACAAATAAAATATCACCATAGGAAATGGAAGTAGCAGGTTCTCTTCTAGGGCCTATACCGTCTTAGTATGGGCAGTTGGCTAGGCCTACATTACCGAGCATGATTACCTCCCACTGAGTGGGTCCTAAGTTTAATTAGACAGAGGGTTATACCCAAGTTAAAAGTTGTTACTTTTAGAGTGTATTCATAAAAAAGTTTACTATAAAATAATATGCTATACTCTACTTGCATCAATCTCATGTATCTCACATTTATGAAGCCTTTTAATTTCATCAAAAGCAAAGGAGAATGACTGGCTCATACCTTCTAGGTTATATAATTATGCTCTATGATGCTTATCTAACAAAATGATTTATTGAAACATTTATCACAATGTATACCCATCATTGATTGCCTATATACACCCAAACTCTGTCTCTGGGTTTGCTCTTAGGAATACCTAAACAAAGGTATAACCTTGACAAGTTTGGAACATGAGTTAATCACAAAATCATTGTCTTTAAGACCAAGAACTGTAACAAGAAAAGACTATGATTTTTGCAAATCTCAAGTTTTGACCAGGGTTTCAAATGTGTGATTGATAGCTTTTCCATATCAGTGTTTGCTTAACCTTCAGTAATTGGTATAATGTCAGGGAAAACCAAAGACCATGCTTCAAAGCAAATGGGCACACTCTCATCCAAAAATGGGTCCTGTGTCTTAAGAAATGGTTTGTACTTGAAGCTGTGATTGAATGTGAATTTCTTATTTTTTTAATCAGGAGGTCTTGGACAGTGTTCTTATTCACACATAAAGTCAAATGCCTCTTATCTACATCAAGGAGTATTAACTCTTGACCTGTTTGTACCACATCTATACTGCCTAGTGAGACTAATGTCTTCAAGTTCTGATCAACACTGTGTAATATTTGACAAGTCTTGCTCCAGGCAGAAATCCTGTACGTGATCTTTCAAGTAAAACCACTGACAATTAAAGGGCTTTGATCAGTGGACCTCGTGAGAGAAATTGCCTCCACCACTGAACTTGGTGTACAGTGAGTGCTGCAGTTTATGAAGAAGCTGTAGTTCAGGCCTCAGGCAATGCTCTCCATCTTCAGGCCTGGCACGCTCACATGTTACCCTCTGTTCTTTCTTACTGGGTTCTTAGCTAAGGGACTTCCTGCAGAGACTGCCTCATTTGTGGTCTTGGCACTTGCCCTTTTCTCCTCTTTGACCCGGAACTTTCTCACTTCCAGACTCCTTCCCTCAACCCATTTAGACTCTGCCTCTATGCCCTTAAAGAAGTAGGGATTCTGAGTTTGGGAACCTTCAGTGGTTAAGTTACTTTTCCCATACTTTTACACTATATCTTATTCTTACTAGTGCTGTTCTGTGGGGGAAATGAAACACTAGTACACTTGTTTGTACAGTTATAGCAGGTGAACAAAGGCTTGGTTGCTTGCACTCTACAGTAAGTGAATGAGGGCTTAATGGCTCCTTTCAGTTTGGTTCATTGCCATAACTGACTACCCACCAGGATGCTCAACAGTACTCTGTAAAACTATCACGGACCACACAAGTGCTCTAGCCTAACTCTTAGGCCACAATAAGGTATAAGCAGTCCTGGTATAGTATCAATGATGAACTGCTGAAATGGGGCAACTCATGGCACTTTCTTTTAAACATGATCAGCATGTTTCCAACAGATCAATCAGTTATCACGTGACAGTTCCCCAGCCTCTAGTAGGCTTTTGAAAACTCAACTCTAAGCCATGTTCCATAGAGTGTATTAACCATGCACTCTCATGAAGATGTCTAAAGACTCCTTATAGTTCTTTATGGCTCTGACCCTGTGCTGACATAGGGCTTCTACATTTCTGAAATGAATAGAAAATAAATCCTGTCACCATTTTTCTCTACCAATCCAATTTCACCAACTATGTGGTGGTTGATTGATTGATTGATTGACATGTATTTTGTGAGATCATAGAAAGGGAATTCACCATTTCCTTTAGGGACCCTATGTGTTTTCTTTTTCTTTTCAATTTGCCAGGTTGTGACTGTTTATTAACTGACCAGATTACAAAAATGCCATGGGCAACACCTTAGTTCATCCGTCTAATAAGCCTGTTTATTTGGTCTTCCCTGTTGCCAGCATCTCCACCTCCCACAAAATGAGTTGTCTTTTTCTCCATTCCACTCATGGAGAAGATAATTTGAAAGGCCGCAGGAAGTTATTCGCTTCTTTGAAGCGTTTTCCAACTCTATAGATCTCATGAATTAGATCCTTCATGCAGATGATGCCATGCTTCCAAGAGATCGAGCAATCAAGGAATTAACTGTCAAGGCAATTCTCTTCTTACTGATTTTGCCATAGCCGCGTTTGTAGGTGAGCTCATTTACTGACTTCAGGTTGAGGTACCCCTATGCAAGTATGGTTCCACAATCCTTTGCATGTTGACTGAAGCCTTGTTGAGCTTAACAAAGGTCCCATTGAAAATCTGACGAAGACGGAGAAGCTGCAACACCTTGCAGGATTCTGGTGGCAAACGCCAACTCGGTTCTGCAGGCACGTAGAAGTTTCTGGTTTTCCTTTTCCTTGCCATCCTAGCCGCCCGAATCTCTGTCCACACATCTGCCTGTATTCCTTGTGATAGTGCTTTACCTTTTAATAGATAAGCTTCCTCCTTGCCTTTCACAGTGTCTTCAGCGCAAACTTCTTCCGAAGGTGCTTCAACTTCAACTCTGAAATTCCTTTGCTTTTTCTTAAGGGTTTCTGGCACAGCAGGAACCTTTGCTTTCTTCCCCAGCAAGGCTTCTATGGTTCCAGTCGGGGGGGGGGGTGGGGGGGTGGGGGGCTGGAATGTGTTTTCTACTCTTTATTCCAGAAGTTTCTCTCTTGGGGAGCAGGCCTGGTGACTACACTGAATTTTCCAGGTCCTTCGGGAATTCTACTGATAAAAGTGACTTTTGCATAGAATGTCATTCTCAGTGACCTTGATGCTAAAGCCTCATGGGAGACGTTGTTGAAGAGACACAGTCTAGCAAACAAAATAATCCCAAGGAAACCCCAAAATCTTTGAGTTATTAAAATACCATAAGTGGTATGAACTTCCTCTGGAGTGTGGTCAACTTAACCAGGGGCAACTCTCTTCAAATGGACTCTTTCTCT